TGGGGCCCCAGCCAGGGAGCCGAGAAACCCCAACGGAAGCCAGATCCGAGCACAATCTCTTTAACCCTCTGCGCCACGTCATAGCCTGCCCACCTCGTTGCTTCTTCCAGCCTGGACCAACGTCTGCGAATAGTGCACGGTATGGCAGACGGTGCTCAGGCATTCGTAGGACGTACCCTAGCCACCTAAGACGATGCTGTGAAATTATTTTGCCTAGAGGAAGACTATCTGGTCCTAGCACCCGTCGTCTGACTTCATCGTTATTCAGGCGGTGCTCCCACCATACGCGGGCGATGTTGCGCAGACAGCGGTTGTCGAAGACTGATAGCTGGTGGACGTGATCTGTTCGGAGAGGCCAGGTCTCGCAGCCATAGAGCAACACGGTGCGTACCGTTGCGCAATACACACGTCCTTTCAGTGTAAGGGATATATCGCGCCGGCGCCAGAGATGCCGCAGATTAGCGAACGCTAATCTAGCTTTGATCACGCGTTGAGAGATCTCCTCGCCCACACCTCCGCCAGCCGTTATGCAACTCCCAAGGTGGGCAAAGCTTTCTACTACTTCCAGACTGTGATTACCCAACAAAAGTACAGGAATGGGTTCCTGCCAATCTTGCAACAACACTTCGCACTTTGAAGGTGCAAATGACATACCATAACGAGTAATCTCAATTGCCAAACGGTTCACTGACTCTTGAATCGTTGGTGCGTTGTCACCCAGTAAGGTAATATCATCGGCGTACTCTAAGTCTACGACTCTGTCCCCAGGATGAAGCTCGACGCCAGCGTTCGCTGCGTTATGTAACGCGTTTTATAGGACATCTATGGCAAAGTTGAAGAGAAACGGAGAGATAGGGCAACCCTGTCGTACCCCACTGGTGACAGGGAATGAGGGTGAAAATTCACCATAGGCCCCAACCTTCCCCAAGATCTGGTGATAGAACGCTTTTAGGAGTGAGACGTACTTCTCGGGTACTCCGTATCTCCACAAACAGTTCCATAGTGCGGGGCGATCGATAGAGTCGAAAGCCGCTCTGATATCTAAAACCACGACAATGGTTTGTCGTCTGCATGTGTGGCGGTGTTCTAGTAGCTGACGGAGGGTGAAGATTTGATCTATGCATCCACGGTGTGCACGAAACCCGGCCTGCTCCTCGCGGATTTGCTTCTCGCGGAATGGGCATAACCTGCGTGATAAAACGGACGCTAGCAGCTTCGACGCTATTGGAATCAGACTTATGCCCCTGTGGTTGAGACAGGCGTTGCGACAATCTTTCTTGTAGATCGGTGTGGCAGTCGATTCTCCCCATATGTAGGGTACACTTTCAGTTTCCCAGATATTCGAGAACAGTCTCACAA